GGGGGGGGGGGGGGGTAGGAGAGGGATGATAAAGAAAATCTGATGTTAATTATGTTCTCCTTTGTCCTTACAGTGGTTTTTCAAGAAATGCTTGAATAAAGGACGCAAACTACACTAAGTGATGAAAACAATCAATAATAGACAAGAAAAGTTGAGGTTTACCCTGGCAAGCATGCGTTCCAGCTGTTGAATTTCATTCTTTACATAATCTGCACCTTTTATCCATGCAGCTCTTGGCAGCTTTCAAGTAGATCTTGCCATATCTATGAAAGGAATAGAATAATACAAAAATTTAAATGAATGCTGACAGCAAATTGGATTTCAGAAGTACTGTCTCCTTGAAAAATTCTAGAAGTGGTAATGTAATAGTCCCAGTCACATATGTCAGTACAAGATTATGGGAACTACTAGACAAAACAAAAATATATGTTGCCATTGTGATTACCATTGAGCTTCTCAGCTTCCTCCTCCATCCGGGCAAATATTGCTTTCTTCTCATCATCAGTAGCACTTACAAACTCCTTCACCAGGTTATCCAAAGCTGCAACTATACCAGCCTGTTTTTGAGAAATTTATGAACATATAGTTCAAGAGATAAGATGTGCAGTATTTTGTGCTTAAGTTATCAGGTGATGCAGCCACTAACTTTGGAAGTAAGTTGTCCTTTTCCATCACGACTAGTACCACATTTCTCATTGATGAATTTGACAAAGTTGTCTAAATCTCGGCCACCGTGATAATCTTCCCCAGCTTTGTTGTTTGTTGGGAAGAACTTCAATGTAGGATAACCACTTACACCATACCTGCATAGGCAGAATATATTCCTCAAAGCCAACCAGCAAAAAGGAAAAAAGAAAAGGGGCCGACACTCAAAAGAAGCTAAAATAATTTTTGAGAAAAATACAGTGTGCATCTAAGGCGAAAAAGAAATTATTATTTTAGAAAAATACAGTGTTTTGGCACTCACTTTTCTGCAAGATCCTTGTGCTTGTCAGTTTCAAGACTAGCAACAACTACATCTTTATCCATTTTAAATGCCATTGCAACCTTTTCATAAGCCTACACAACAAGCAGGAAAAAAAAACAAGTTAGGAGCCTATGGTTTTGTAGGCAGAAGACTACGTTCCACGGTCCACCTACCAGTTCCATCAAAAAGCCGCTGATGTACTTACAGGAGCAAGGTTTTTGCAATGACCACACCTGACGAATGATAAAGCAAAGATCAGAGATGTAGGTTCAACTAGTCACAACTTGAAGAAGCTCATACTTCACATTTTGCTTGAATAAATAATACCTTGTAGATTATTCTACATCTATTATATTTTTTGACCCCAGCGTCTATTATGTGACAAGAAGTATTTTCAACAAGCTACCCATTCCATAACAGACGAAAAAAATATCTATAAAACCAACACTGAAAAAACAAAAAAAGATTACCACGTTGCATAGAACTCAACCAGTACATCCTTTCCTTAATCCAGGACAATCTCGTTAAAGTTATCAGAATTTAGTATTACAACATTTGATGGACTTGTAGCTATCTTAACATTCATCCCTGAAAATGAAACAGTATAGAAAAGTCAATATACGTTGACTAAAAACCCTTCTCTTACAACTTCGAGATGATGTTCGTCAACATCCCCAAATGATCTGTACATGGTGAACATTTCCACTTTGTAACAATCCCAAGCAGACAGATAACTCCAACTAATATTACAAGCTACTTATTAACTCTCCCACAACCCCTCAAAAGGCTGATATGAATCCCTTGATCACAATCAAAAGAGGAAATGAACAAATGGAAAAAAGAACGACAGACGAGAGAGACCAAAGAGCTGCATAATTTTTCACTTCAAAAAGACAAAATAATAATGTGCCAGCAGAATCCCTATAATCAATGCAAGTTTGTTACCTTTACCCTGCACCCACAGATCTTTCCCCCAAATCTTATTAACAATAAACAACCATTAGATCCACACTTGTACATTCATACTAATTGTTGACAAATTTTGATTGACAGTGTTGACATAATCCCTGAAATTGATTAATTGCCATCTTATGGTCGAATGACTCAATGCTATGATTTTCATTCTTTATATAACTCTTCCACAGTGAAAGAGCCATGTTCTCCTGCTTAACAAGACCCCAGAAGTTGTCTGACCACTCATAGAAACTCTCTCTCTCTCTTCCCCCCCCCCCCTTTTTCTCTATCTCAATCCAATTCCTGTTTGGTACTTTGGTTACATTGTCCAATTCTTCTCTCTCTCGATTTATGATTTTGTAAATTTTGTATTTTTTGTTCGGTAGGTTTTTTTTTTTGGTTAATTTATCCCATGATATAATGCATTATGAGTAATTTGGGGCTTGTATGAACTTATCGCTTGGAATGGATGTTTATACTCAGTTTTCGGTCTGTTTGGTTGCTGAGAAATGAAGGGAAAGAAAAGAAATAAAATTTTAGATTGGTTTTGATTGTGGGTTTATTAGAAGAAAGAATGAATAATTGCACACAAAATGAGCTTAATTTAACTATTCTAAAGAGTTCTTTTGTGTTAGATATCATGTCTAAGCTGATGTTAAGTATCTTTGTTTGTTTGTATAGGTCTTGGTTTAGTTGACTTTTCTTTATATGATTGGAATCATCCGGTAGTCCATTTTAGGTGTTCTCTAGCCTCTGTGCTTGCGGTTATCATTACTGGATGTCGTATTTTTCTTTACTTAACTTTACAAGTTGTATTGAAAATTGAATACATTAAAATTAGATATATCTTTGATGATTTTTTTCTACTTAACTTTACATGTTTGATGTTATTTTTATAATTATTGTGATTTTTTAACCTATTTATTATTATTTATAATTGTTTTTTAATTTTTTATTATATTAATGGTCCAACCAGTGACTTAACGGTTAAACCAATGACCTGTTGACCTAGTCCCTTCACTGGGTTGATGTCCGGGCCGGATTTTAAAATTATAATTTGCACGTGCTTTTCCTGCTGGTGCATGAAAACACAACCACGTTCCAAACATGCCCTCCGTAGAATGGAAATAAGAGGAATCAAAATCAAGATTTCTTCCTCCTCACGAGTTGACCAAGCCAACGACAGAGATGAAAGTCCCAACAGTAATAGCCAGAATAAACCTACAGACTGACACGTGTTGGGCTCACAACTCCACTGGTCCCACACACTGATCTAAGAAAGAATTGCCACGTAATAGTCACAATCTTAGAACGGTCGAAAATTCAAAGCCCCCAAAATCTCGACTAAATATTAAGCGTAATAGTTACACCGCATCAGTATTGTTATGTGGTATAATTGTTTAATAAAAAAATTATAAAAATGACATAATAAACCCTACTTTCTTGTAAGACTCACTTATAGATTTAGTCACTTACTAATGAATAATTACATATCGTGACATTGTTGTAATGTGACATTACTCTCTATATTTTCTCTAAAATCCTAGGAAAAAAAGTGAAGAGACAGACAGCATTCCCACCAGCTTAAAGACAAGCTCAGCTAATATGCCTAGTTTTTAATATAAAATAGTAATGAATAATAGTTTAATTAAAAAATAGTGTTAAAAAATCGTCAAAATACCTCATAATTCTTGTCTAGTGAAACTTCTAGAATGATGAAAATCCGCCTACCCAATCTTGCAAGTCAATAAAAAAAATATATGAAATTCTACACTACACAATCATCGCCCATCAACACATGCACCCATATATAGTGAAACCCAAAAAATATAACAAATGGATAAAATATAATTATACCTAATTGTTTGTTGAATTTGTAGAAAGGATGAAAACCCACCCACAACCCAATAACATAAATATCAAATTCCACGCCCATACAACCCTCTCCCACCACACCGACAACCACATATACGGGAAGAATGAAAATTCATACAATAAAATAAACAGAGCAAATAGGTAGGCCTTGCTTTTTAAGGGAGCCCGCTAGATGTTTTGGATCCCAAATAGGTAGCCCAAGCTCAATTCGATCATTATCAAATACAAAAAGGCCTTAGAATGCAAAGGAAATCATTGCNAGAGAGGGAGCTGAAAAAAAAAGGAAGTTAAAAAGGGTAGGGTGTTTTTATACTCAAGCAAGAAAATCCTTTTTTTGTTGCTAAGGAAGATCGAAGTCAGGATCTCATTAAATCCTATGTTGAAGCCGCGCGTGTGTTTTTTTATAGATGTTTTCAAAAACATTATTTTGGATGTTGTTAAGTGTAAAGATTAACACAATATATTGAAGAGGAATGGAGAGAGGTCAAAAGCTTGACCTAGTTCTTATATAACATTGTATTTATAGTTAACTTACAATAATAAGAATTACACATACTATCCAAACACTATTAACAATTTACACATACTACCCTAATACTCATAACACTCTCCCTCAAGCTGGATTATATATATTATATAATCCAAGCTTGAAATAAATCGTTGTAAGACGTGTACAACTCAATGCTTTGGTAAACATATCTACAAGTTGATCTTCAAATTTCACAAATGGAGTCGTAATCTCCCCAGCTACTATTTTGTCCCGAATAAAGTGACAATCAACCTCAATATGTTTGGTTCTCTCGTGAAACACTAGATTAACAGCGATATAGATAGCTGCCTAGTTGTCATAGAATAACTGTAAAGGAGGTGGAACTGGAAATCTAATTTCCTGGAAGAAGTGTAGCAACCAAGTCAACTCACTCGTCGTATGCGTCATTGTCCTATGCTCAGCCTCGACACTAGATCTTGCTACCACGAATTATTTCTTACTTTTTTCATGAGACAACGTTACCTCCTAAGAAAATATAATAACTAGTAGTTGATATCCGATCAGAAGGAGAGCCAGCTTAATCAACATCTGAGAAACCTTCCACTCTAAGATGTCCATTAGCTCGATATATCAGTCCAAGTTCAGGAGCTCATTTGAGATATTGCAGAATACGAGGAACAACCTCCCAATTTGGTACTTTAGGAGCTCGATATATCAGTCCAAGTCCAGGAGTTCGATATTTCTACTCTCTTGCTTATGAGCAAGGGCATTATTTGACTTTGGTGCATCATTTTTATTTACTTTTGCATCATGTGTGAGATATTTGGGCTTAGAGGTTGAGACCTTTGAAGAGCCATTGCATGTGAGTTTTTCCCTAGGAGTTAGGGTGAGTAGTGATCAGATATCTAAAGGTTGTGAGTCAGAGATTTTGGGAATTGTACTCACCGTGAACTTTAGGGTCATGGACATGTCGGAGTTTGATGTCATCTTTGGGATGGACTGGTTGACAACACATTGAATTGTCATAGTGAGACCTAATCATGCATTGCATACATATTAACATAATTTTATGGGCTAAATTGTAATTATGTGGAATTATTAAAGAGTTAGTTTAAGTAAACCCTTTATAGTCATGATTTGTGTGAGCATACATTGGGTATGTAGACCCTGTTAGTGATGTATTAGTGAGATCCATTTATAGGAATTTCATGTGTGAAAATACTAGTGGGCTGATTTTGAAATCACTTAAAAACTTGGGGGAAGACAAGCATAATTACTCAATTTAATGAGTTATCTTTGCATGTGTATAAGAATGAAATGGGCGAGTCATAACTAAGGCTAGGTGGTTGTGTGTGTGTGTGTGTTTGTAAATATGGTACATGCTTTACGATCAAATTATTACATTTCTTGTTACATAGATACAACCCATTAACATCAGATTTACATTTATTCTAAATACATGCTCAATGCAAAGCAATGCGTGATAGGGTCTCACAGGGTTTACGTTCTAGTTTGAGGCCATAGGGTTTATCATTGAGTTCGTAAATGTCTGGGTGGCGCAGTTGGTACACCCAAAAAATTGGATCATATGTTCGTATTGACCCTGTGTGGTCTATTAGTATGATTGCCCACTAGTGTAGCATTGTACAGGACGTTTCTAAACTCTTTTTTTCCGTTCAGCTTTATTTAAGTGATACTTTTTTACATGAAATGATGTTTTTTCTTATAAATATGTATCAAATTCTCATTTGCTTTTACCCAATCATGTTGAGCTATTTATTTTCAAACTTGTCTGCTTAGAAATTGAGTTACTCTACTAAACTGTTGATACTCACCCTACATTGTTTCCCCTTTTCAGATATATGAAAGTTGAAAGACTTGTACATAGTGTATTGCCAGATGTTTTTATACAGTTTAGGAGATGACTATGAGATGTTTGTGATGGTTCAAAAGAGATATGAAATATCAAAAGAGTAGATTATGATTACAGGAATTATTTGGTGACTAAAACGGATGGTTATCACAATTTAGTCATAATAGTTTTTATTAGATTTCAACTAAGTTGGTAGATGAAGTATTAGGAAAAGGGAAAGACAAGTGGGACAATTGGCATTATAGGGTGGATGCATTTGCTTTACATGCATGAGTGTTGTGTGGTGTGTATTGTTGTAAAACCTGGAAAAATTTAAACTTTTTCGAAAAAGGGGTAAAATGGTAATTTGTTACTATAATGCGAAATTAAAACTCATATTTTTTTAGGGCTCGGATGATACAACGGATCTTACCGTTGGATTCGTCTCACGAAATCTAGTTACCTTGTCAATTTTCATCGAATTTCGAGATAGTCGAATTT